CCTTCCACAGTTGCGTCGCGCGGCGCCATCTTTGTGCGGGGCGCGGGAGCCCTCTTTGTGCGGGGCACCTCTCTCTTTGTCTCCTTTTTCTTCCTCCTGCTCCCTCCTCGTCCTCCCTTGTGCGGGATGCATGCCCCGACCGCTGCAAGCACGGGGAGAGCTCGGCTCGAGGCAGCTGGGGAGGTGGTGGGGGTGTTGCCCCGCACAAAGATGGCGCCGCGCGCCTCATCCCACCCCCCTAGCGCTGCGACGCGCCAGTATGACGGTAAACGCTGCCCCTCACCAACATGGCGGAGCTACGCCCCGCCGCTCCCCAAGATGGAGGCCCTAAGCCCCGCCCCCTCCCCAACCTAGCCTTTTTTTCCCCCCATTGCTGTGGGGGGGGGGGTCCCCCCCTAATATCTCCCTTGCTGCAGCAGGAGCCCATTGCTCCTTGCCGTGGCTATGATCACGGCGGTGCCCAGGCGCCAGGACGGGGGCGCAGGCTGCACGCGGGGGAAGGCCCAGCCACGCCCGTGCGACAGCGTCCGAGGACATCGCACCTCAGCCGCTTCCTTCCTGCCTGCCTCGTAGCATCCCGGATGCTCGCAGCCGCCATCGCTTCCCCTCTGCAAGCCGGGGGGCAAAGTGACATGGGAATTGTCGCGGGAGAAAACTCCCTGGAGTCTGTTGTCTAGCTGCGTAGGAACCGGGCAACGCGGGTAAAGGGTTAACCGCAGTTTATTTGCTCGAGCAAAGACCACAAACCAGCAAAGAGGCAAAATGGCCCCAACGTAAGGGTGGGGCTGTCTTTTATACCTTTTCTAACAAAGAAAACGACAAGGTCATTAAATATGCAATACTTATGGTCATCATCTTTGTATATGGTGCTACACAAATCGTCATAGTAACATCATATTTATCTATGATAGCTGGTACTTTTCCAAAGGCAGAAATTAAGTAACGGCTACACGTTATCTTTTACATTCCAATCTCTTCTCTGTTTCCAGCGGTGCCAGTCTCTACTCCCCTCTTATCTCATCACATTGCATGCTGTAGCTGGTCCTCAGTGCAAAGACCTACACAGATTTACGTTCGTTGTCTTTTCTCTCAGAAAATGGTCGACACAGTTAAAATAATTATTTAACATAAATGGTTGGCTTAGCCATCATTCTGCCTTGTGGTCAGCAGCATTGCTAGGCCACAGGTCAAGCCTTGGATTCAGCTGCCAATCTAATTCTTCTCAATAATCTAAATTATTGTTAACCTAACAGTATGCTTATCGAAAAACTATTTTATTTCAGGGTAATAACAAACTTGCTCATCACAGAATGGCCCCTGCGTGGGGCAGTGGCGGAGGGCAAGAGGCACTGGCAGGGGTTTTTCTCCTGTCTCCTCTCTCTCCATCGCGTGCGTGCACCCACGCGGACGTGCAGCGTGGCGATGCCTGGGGTGGGGAGGGGGAGGTCGGGGGTCCTGAGCTCAGCCTGGGGCGCTGGGCATGCAGGCACGGCACTCGAGGCACTGCAGGGAGCTCTTTATTGGGCTCCTGGGAGGGAAGGTGCTGCCGGCCCCCGGCTCTGCCGGGCTGGCCCTGGAGGGGAGAGCCGTCGTGGGGGAGCTTGTGCCCCAGCCTGCCTGCAATCCTCTGCCGTGGGGTGTGCGGGCACCCCGACACAGCCAGCTCCATCCAGGTCTCCCTAAATGCGTGCACACGTGCATAGGCATGCGTGCACGCTCGCGCTGCGTCCCTCTTCCGCTGTCCCCAGTGCCGCCGTGGCTGGTCAGACCTGCGTGGCGCAGCCCGGCCCCACAGGAGGCCCCAGCCCTACACGTTGGTCTCCCGGAGCAGGTGGTCCACGGAGCTGCAGGCCCAGTGGGGCTCCCTGGTGTCCACCTCCTCCTGGCTGATCAGCAGCGCCTGGCGGGGCTCCGCGCTGCGCCCGGGCCCCGGGACCGGGCAGGCAGACGAGGGAACCTGGGGAAGGGGAGGGCGGTCACAGCGGGGTCTCCGCGGCCCCGTCCTCGTCCTGCCCCCGGCTGTGAGCTGCCTCCTCGGAGCAGCCAGCGGCATCCTGCAGCAATGGGGGACCCCCAACTCCCCCCGGAGAAAGAGGCGCCTGCTGTCCCTGCTCACCGTGTCTGGGCCGTGACCAAAAGGGCTCTTCCCGCTGGCGGGGGCCACCAAGGACGTCTGCTTCACGATGTCCCACCACAGCACCCCGGGCTGCACGCGGCGCTGCGTCGCAGGACCTGCCGGGCGGCGCGGCCGATGAGACGCCCCTCGCTGATCCCCACCCAAGCTGAGAGCCCCCCAGCACAGCCCCCCGGTCGGCCTGGCTCCCCTCACCTGTCAGGTAGCTGGCGAGCACACCCACGCACACTGTGGACAGCGTGCCCAGGGCGCCGTAGTACAGGTAGGACATGGCGTAGAAGTTGTCATCGGCGGCTGGCCTGCAAAGCAAGCGCGGCGTGGCGGAGAGGCAATGACGGTCGTGCAAGGAAGCGCCACGGCCCGCAGCTGATCCAGCCCCGGCACTCACCTGTCCCCGGGCATCGAGATGTTGCGGGGGGGCAGCGGTCCCAGGACGGCGG